TTGATCCTTTTGATTAAAAAAATAATCACTAATATATTATTGCACAGATAATAAATAGTTAAAGTCTAAAATACTGGTAATCCCATTAAAAAATAAACCTGGTCCACTGTTGCTGGAATGGTAAAAGGGTATAGCTAGTGCTAGGCTGGGCATTAGCAACCCACATCTTTCATAATAGCACACAGAAGGCTGGTGAATTTCTGTAGTGTGAGGCCACCCTGGACTACATAGAGAGTTCTAGGCTACAATTTTTTTTTTTTTTGGTAAAAAAAAAAAAAAAAAAAAAAAAAAAAAAGGGCCAGGTATGGTATGGTGGTGAATGCCTTTAATTCCAACACTTGGGAGGCAGAGACAGGAAGATCTCCAATGAGTTTCGAGGCTAGCCTGGTCTGCTAAGTGAGTCTAGGACACCCAGGGCTCCAAAGGGCTCTATGTCAACATACCAAAGAGATAGAGGCACAGTCATGTTCAGGCCTACACTACTCACAATACGTAAGAAATGGAGTCAGTATAGATGCCCAGCAACAGATGAACAGATGTAGAGGAATTTTAATCCAGCAACATGGCTGCTCTGATCACATTCAAAGTTCTAGGTCTGTATGATCTGGCTGGAATGCAGTCATGCCACTCACCTTTAATCCCTCTTGCTGGAATAGAGAAGTGTCCTTACCTTTAATCCCAAACAATGAAGGTAAAGTTAGTTTGTAGAAGGAAACACCCATATTTGAAAGTGATGTCTAATTGAGGGGCAGAAAAAGTGATATAGGAGAGAAAGATTTGACAAAATAGGATACGCCCATCTCTCACAAGAGAAACTATTCTGAGAGCGTGAGAAGGAGAAAGGGAAAAAACGAGGAGAGGAGGCAGTTTTATCAGAGTTTTACAGAGAAAGGTCAAAGAAGAGAAGGTAGGCACAAGTGACAGAACAAGCCAGAGAATGAGAAGGAGCCAGAAGATTAGAACAGAATGCTAGTTAGTCTGAGGCCAAGCAAAACAATTCAGTCAGAGGCTGAAAGAAGCCAGTTTGTATCAGTCAGCTGGGCCAGGAGTTTGAGCCATAACAGCTGAGCTGAACCAGCTAGCCAGAGTTCAGAAAGAGCTAGAAAGAGTGAGCTTACTCAGTAAGTCTCAGAGACTGAAAATATTCTAGGTCTAGGTAAGAATATTCTAGGTCTAGGTAAGAATGTATGGAGGCTAGAAGCTTCTAGGACTGGGCCTATGTTATAAGTAAGCCTCCAAGACAATTACATCTGGCAAATAAGTTACTTTTACAAACAGATAAAGGAAATGTGGCACATACATGCAATGGAATTATATTTAACCATAAAGAAAATGAAGTTGTGACATTGAGGGAAAATGGGTGCAAAAGTAATTCTATTGGTAGACTGTTTGCCTAACATGCATGAGGTTCTGGAGTCTACCTTCAGCCCCAGGCAGGTGGAGAAGGCCTGAAATCCCAGCAGTTCAGAAGTGGCCATGGACACCACAAGTTTATGGTCATCCTCTGCTATGCAGGGAATTCAAGGCTCGTTGCGGAAACTTGAGTCTGCCAAAACCAATCAACCAACCAACAAACCACCTATGTGTTGAAATGTAACTTGGACAAGTAACTGAAATTTAAATGTTGAAATTGTGCGATATGTATCACTTAACCAGAATAGACAGGTGCACTAAGATACTTCTTGTTTTTGTTGATAACATAGGCAAGTACAGATGGCTTATCTGTAATCCCCAGAGGATTTGTATTTGGAAGCAGAGAGAACTTGGAGGATCCTCAATTCAAGGCTAACCTGGGCTACATAATGCAACCTCCTTTAAAAAAAAACAAACCAAAACACGCCTTCAAGCTAAGTGATCTAATTTCTTAAAACAGTACATTAATAAATGTTCTTCAGAGCTGTACACTTTTAGCTTCAGAACTTGGGAAGCAGAGGCAGGTGGACTTGTGAGTTTGAGGCCAGCCTGGTCTACAGAATGAGTTCCAGGATAGCCAGGACTACACGGGAAACTCTGTATTAAAAACCAAACCAAAAACCAACCAACCGAACAAACAAAAACGTTCTTCAGAAACTTGAGTTATTTTCTAATAAATGACACAAACTTCTGGAGTAGAAGGTTGGCTGCAGAGAGGGATCACTCGCTGCTGCTGCTGTTGCAGAGGATCTGAGGTTGGTTCTCAGCACTCACACCAGGAGGCTCACAGCTGCCTGTACTTGCAGCTTAGAGAGTCAACACCCTCTTCTGGCCTCTGCAGCACCTGTGCACACATGGCATCTGTTCACTTACACGGACACATAACTAAATCTTCAAAAAGCAAAACTGTTACTGGTGCGATGGCTTAGTAAGTGAAGGCCCTTGCTCCTAAGCCTGGCAATGTGAACCTGATAGCAGGAACGCACACTGTGAAAGGAGAGGCTCAATTCTCCTAAGCTATCCTGATTTTCATAAGCCCATTATAACACGCTACCCCTACTCCCCATGAACACACAAAATACATTTTTAAAATGGAAGGAAAAATATACTTTTTATTCAGTGATATTGGGAGTACGTTTTTACTAAATAAACATGCAGAACAGACTTCAAAGTCAATGCAATTTTGAACAATGGAGGCTCAATTAATGCATCTAAATCTAGGGACTTGAATTACAAATAATTCAGTGAGACTGAGGGGAAGCTGTAAGTGCCAAAGGGAGGCAGCAGCGTGTTGTATGCATGCACATGGATGCCTGTATCCCTCCTTGTGTATGAGACAGGGTCTACTGAGGTCTGTGATCTCCAATTAGGTTAAGCAGGCTGAGTGGGGACCCCCAGTATGTCTCTGCCTCAGCAGAGCTGGGATGCCATATGCTAAGGTTACATGTGTGATCCTGTGCTTTATGTCTGGCTTTTTATGCGACTTTTTATACCAACACACTACGGTTTAGGAAATAACACAGCCAGTAGCTTGGAAGCAAAAGAGAAGTAGGGATGGAACTCTGGTCCCATGGTTGGGTACCAAGCACTTCGATGTTGGGAACACAAAGGTCCGTGGCACTCCACAGACACCGCCAGGAAAACTGGGACTGTTCTTTTCAAGGAAAAAGATGTATAACCTGTTTTCCGCCCAGAGGACTGGGACGGCAAGTGGCTAATAGCCTAGGTCAGCAACTCTCAAACTGTGGGTCATGACAAGGGGTCGAATGACCCTTTCACAGGGTCACATATCAGATATTTACCTTATGATTCATAACTGTAGCATAATTACGGTTATGAAGTAGTAACGCAAAATAGTTTTATGGTGGGGGGGGGGGTCACCACAACATGAGGAGCTGTATTAAAGGGTTGGAGTATCAGGAAGGTTGAGAACCACTGGCGATCCTGGTGCTATCTTCAGGGCCCACAAGCTGAACCAGATGACCTCTGTGCTATCTGTGTGACCACGCCGGATTCTCCCCTAGGCTGTAAGATAACATGTGCAGCCTATCTACAGAACCCATCTACAGGGAAGAAGTGACACGTACTTTGAAAAAGGTTTCAGTATAATTATGCCTCCTTCTGCACACACGACTGTGTTGCACCAGGAAACCTTTTCTCAAATTGCACTGTACAGAACATGCCTAAAATAAGCTGCCCAGTGTCAGAACTGGCTACTGAGTCCTGCTGAGTCTCACTAGGATCATTCCTCTCCTGGCCCTGGCATTTGCAGAGACTCCTACACTTTACCATTGCTCCAGCCTACAACACATTTTTGGTTGTGAGCCTGAACTTTTAACTGATAAGCTATGTCTCCAGTTCCAATGCTGCATTTTTGTAGTGAATGCTTTTGAAATAAATGACGTGATGCTGAGGTATGTAGAAAAGCTAAAAGGAAGTTGGTGATGGTGGATGAAACAGGTAAGTTAGGATTTAATGAAGTTATAGAAGAGACTCTGCCTCCAAAAGAGTATTCTGTAAATTCCTATCTTGAAACACTCCATGTATGTGTCTATAACCATGGAGAAGTGTCCCTTGTTCCCTATTCTTTCCAAGTAAACTTTGCTATCAGATGCCTCAAGCCAACTTTAGTTTGCTGTCTCAATTAAAACAATCTCTCAAAATGTTTAACAATTACTGTTTGATACCGACACCTACAGGTGTTGACTGTCTCTACACCAGGAACCTTCCTAACCGTCAAGGTTGGAGGTCTAAAACAGGAAGCTGGAGTTGCGGGTGTAGCTCAGTAGGTAGAGCACCTGCTGAGAAAGCAGGTTTGCTCTCCAGCATCAACAGGGCGGAGATGGATGTGGAAGGACCAGAAGTTCTTCTGATAAGTATGAGGTCTACTGAGACCACTTGAGACCTTGCCTCAAGCTGTAAAAATACACTGGAGGTCACCATCAAGTAATAGTACTTCAAGTACTGGGTCTGAACGAAAAGTTACCTTGGGAATGAACGTTTTGCAGGATTGAAGTATAGCATACATTGGTACAGTTCTCAAAAAGGAGAGAGCATATAAATAAAAAGGTGGTTTCACTAGGCTTTTTTCTTTTTGCTAGAAAACAACAGTTTTATCCACTAAAGATCCACTAAGGATCTAATCTTTCCTGGATTCTAATTTGTGGCTTTTCATTTTTACTATTAACAGTTTAAAGAAAGCCTTTTTTCCTCCCCATTCCCTGAAAGATTATTATTAAGTGGTCTATTTTACCATGTATAAACTAAATGTACTCAGTACATGTGATTTTTCTTTTTCTTTTTTTACCTTGAGGATAACTCCACAGCCTAAAAAACCTTTCCAGGTAGTACCTAACCCTCTGTGCGAGACACTGAAGAAGAGGTTCTAGAAGCCCGTCTACAGTAGCAAGGGGATCACGAACCACCGAAAGTTGGTTCTCAGGCATCCAATCGTAAAATGCACTCCAATGACCAGGTGTGAGGTGTGCGGCGGTCAAGAGCCGCCCAGCGACCCGGTGTCTAGCCCCGGCCCGCCCTGGTAACCAAAGATCAAAGCCAACCGCCGAGCTCTGGCCACGACTGCTTACGAGTAGTTCTCATCCAGTGGATCAGGGCCGGGACATCCGCGGGAGCCGTAGCGCCGAGCAGCTGAAAAACAGCCCGCCGAGCGGAGTCAAAATCCATGGCGCAGCCAGCAAACGCAAGAGCAGGTTCGCTCTGAGCACGCGCAGCCAGACACGCGTCAGGAGGGCCGAACCGCTAAGCCCCGCCCCCTCTGGGGTCCCGCCTCTCGGGGCTGCGGAAGGCGCAAGCCACGCCCCTCGCCCAGCCCTCCGGCACGCCTGGTCGCTTTTTCTTAAGGCGGTGCTTCGAGTCCTGACTTTTCCCCGAGATTGCACCCGGAGAGGGCCTGTTCCGCTGCTGGCTTGCTGCCGCAGCGACGTTCCGGTAGAACGCCGAGGTCAAAGGTCAGCGCGAGCAAAGACACACCTCTAAGCTCCTGGCGGAGGTGAGCCGCGGCTCTGTGCCCCGGAAGCGGAAGCCCGTTTCTTCACGCAGGGCCGGACTACGCTGAGTGATGACGTCTCCTCATTGGGCGGAAGGTTTGGTGGCAGTCGTCGGTGTTCCAGCTGGTGGGAGTTGGCTTCACGGTGCTGGGCGCTGAGCCCCCAGTTTATGTAGCTGGCAGGTTGGGCCGCGGGGTCGTCCCTGTCCTTCTTCCCGTGTTCCTGGGTTTCCTTCTCGGCGTGGGGCCTCGCCAAGGACTCGCCGGCCCGGTGGGGCCGCGGCTTTAGTGGTGCCTTTTGCGGTGAGTGTGGGGTTCTCCTCGCTCGGCGCTGTAGAGAAGGTAGCGGGGCCAGCCCGAGGCTGAGGTGCACCTCTATCCCTTGTCCTCCATCGCGAGTATTACTAAAGGATGCGCTGGTCCCTTCTGATTTGTCTTCAGATTTACCCGAGCCAGATAAGTGAGCATGTGTAGGCTTGACTTATTGAAGGCTTTCCTGAACAAGAATTTAGGTGAGGTATTTGCCCGGAGCTTTTTGATGTGGACCAGATTTAATTTTCCTATCTTTTAGTGCCTAACTAAAAGATTGTTCTTTCTGTATGTAGTATAACAAATAAGAACTTTTACTGACGACCTTCTTTTTTTTTTACAAGTTGATACTACTGAGCATGCATTTAAACAGTTTTGTTTTTTTTTTTTTTATATCAGCTTTCCTGTTAGTCTAAACTTGTTGATAGAACAAAATGTTTCCAGGACTTGCTTTGTTTTTTTTTTTTTTTTTTTTTTTTTTTTTTTTTTTCCTTTTTAAGCCTGTAGGCCTAAGTAATAAAGGACACAAGCCCCAACACGGAGATGCTAGCAGCACAGAGGAGAAAAAAGTCCATAAATATATATTGTAGCTTGACGAATAATGAGAGACTCTAGTTAGCCATAAAGAGGTATGGGGCAGTGATGAAAGTTAATGTGCGCCTTAAGGGATTTGTCTGAGTTATTTGCTGTTAAAATCTAGCCTCAATTTCCTGATGGGCTTATGAGGATGGTACTTACTAAGTATAGGTAATATGTTTAGTAAGTACCTATAAGCAGTAATGATGTGAAAGAGGAAGGAGAAAGTTCCTTCAAACCTCTTTACCTCAACTTTTTGATATGACAGATTAGTATTTTCTGATTTAATAAAAACTGTTACACAACGAGTACTTTAACTATCTGGGCCTGCTACTGGAATGGTGGCTTTTCTTTCTTTTAGAGATAGGCTTTTTTCTATGTACCTTTGCAGGCAAGGAGGAGTTAAAAACGAGTCTTTGGGGATATTGTCAGTCTTTGTTGATTTGCCCCTGATTGCTAGAATATGTGATCTTCATAGATTCGCCTTTAGAGTTCTCATCCGCACGGGTTGCTCCCATACACCATTCCCGTATGCCCGCCATTTCCATGTATTTTTCTTTAGCCTTCGTTTTGAGAGTTCTGTGCTTTCTGCAGACTCCATAGGTCCAAAGTAAATGCACTACCTCCAGCTCTCATTTTCTGCTAGGACATGTAGGATGTACATAGAAATGTATGGAAGCAGTGTCAGTTTTGAGTTTTGACCCTTACTTGTTGAGTGTGTTATGAGTATGTTCAATTTTTAAAAAGTCTGAGCCTCATGTGCGTAGCTACTTTGTGGGCTGGGTAGGAAATTACTTGAGCACAGGAATTGGAAGTGAGCCTGGGCTTCGTTATCAATACTGCACCCCTAAATACACAGCAAAGTAGTGTAATAAAAGGAACATTCATCTAGACATTCTACTTAAGTTGAAGACTATTAGAAGAAACTAAGACTTTTGATTTTTTTCTGTACTGATTTTTCCAGCTTTCAAATTAGCTTTTCATTCATTGGTTAATGACCTCAATAGCCATCAGGCTATTCAGGCTGGAGTCATTTCAATAAGTTAGCCTTGTTCTTTTTCTTTTTACAACCATTTGGCCATTTGGTCCTGTAGACTCCACTTCATGTGTTTTTGTTTGTTTGTTTTTGTTTTTTTGAGACATGGTTTCTCTTTGTAGCCTTCGCTGGTCTGTACTGCTTTGTAGAGCAGGCTGGCCTTGAACTCACAGAGATCCACCTGCCTCTGATGGGATTACAGCCATGCCTGGCTCTCATGTGTATTTGTTGTTGTTGTTTGGGAGCACATTTCTTCTGAACTTTTGAATTATGAACAGTATTTGTAGACTTCTAACTCTTGGATTTTTTCACCATTTGATGCATTTGTTGTTGTATCTAAAGAGGTTTTATTATATTCTATATATTTGGGTATATATCTGTATGTGTACACATACAGTTTTGTTTTTCTCTTTGAGACAGGCTCTCACTATGTTGCCTTGGTTGACCTTGAATCCATGGTCTCAAATCTTCTGCCTCAACTTCCCAGGTAAAAAAGTACTTATAATAGTCCTTTGCCTAAGAGATTTTAAAAGTTGAGGACAGATTTTTTGATTTGAGGGTTGCTGCTGAGTTCAGTAATTATTTGACCTGGATGTACACCTGGGTCTATGATGGCTTTTTTTTTTTTTGGTTTTCTGATCAAAAGTTTAGGTAAGACTTCTTTATTTTTTTTTCCCCTTAGTGTTAATTGTCCCTAAGGGTTTTGACTGATGATTTAATTTTGAGCTGATAAATATTGTATAAATGTAACTAGTGTAACACTGCTTGAGCTTGGGCCCTTCTCTCTGCTTTTTCATTTCCTCCTCAATGCTTTTTTCAGTTTCAAAAACAACTATTTCCGAGAAATTTTTTGTGTGTTTTTATTTTTCCTTTTCGCGATATTTTGTGTAAAGATTCTTTTAATAATTGTCCTGACAGCCAAAGCGTATCTTAAGAAAGTATTGCTTGTAGGTTTTATTTATTTTTTTTCCTTCCTCCCTTCCTCCCTGGCCTGGAACTTGCAGTGTAGACCATGCCTCATGTCACAGAGGTCCTGAATAGTGTCTTCTGAATGCTAAAGTTAAAGACCCTATTATAGCCCACCCTCTTGTTATTTTAGTTACTGTTCTTATTGCGTATTGGGTATGGTGGGAAGGGAGGAAGGTATGTGTATATTTGTGCATATGTGTGTGTTTGACTGTGTGCATATGTGTGCAGGTCCGAGGAAGAGACCAGAGGAGAAAGTTGGATGTCTTTTTTTATCCCTCTCTGCTTAATCTCTTGAGACAGGGTTTGTTGTTGGTATTTTTTTTTTTCTTTTTATTGTAAATTTCTTCTTTTATTTTGTTTTCTATTTCAAGACAGGGTTTCTCTATGCAGCCCTGGCTGTCCTGGACTCACTTTGTAGACCAGGCTGACCTTGAAATCACAGTGATCCACCTACCTCTGCCTCCTTGAGTGCTGGATTAGAGGCACGTGCCACCATGTCTGGCAAATCTTTTTTTAATTTATTTTTTGAAATTATTATATCATTTCCCATTTCCCTTTCATCCCAACAAACCCTCCTGTATACCACTAATCACTTTCAAATTCATGCCTTCTTTTCCATCTTTAATTGCTGCTATATACATGCTTATGCGTATATTTCTGAATATACAAATATACCCTGCTTAGTCTGTGTGTTACTTGTGTGTAGGTTTTCAGGGCTGCCTGTTTGGTATCAGACAACCAGTTAGTGTGCTCCCAGGAGGAAGACTTTTTCTCCTGTAGTTTCTTGGTTAAAATTGAGGCCACCTGAAGAGTTGTTGGTTATTGCCAGGGTATTGTGCCATCATTTCACTCTTAGGGTTATTGTGCCATGCCAATTGTGGTTTATAGTCGTCATAGCTGGGTAGGACGCTTGGTTGCTTCCCGCCTTTTGAAGCTTGCTTGCATGGTACCTTCTGGTACCAAGAAAGCTAGTCCTCAGAAAGAAGGCTTTCTGTTCAGTTCCAAGGCCTCTGGCCTATGTCTGAAGTACATGGTCTGTGCATGAATAGAGGGTTCCACCTCTGGTGGTGGGAGAGAGCAACCAGGGATGATAACAATAGCCTACAATGTTGTAGGGAGGCTCAACCTGATAAACAGCTCAAAAGAAGGTTCTCGTGGCTAGTGTTGGAGTTTTTATCAGGGAACGTTGTTAGCCCTGATAAGAAAATTTTATTTAAACTATAAAATTGTGTTATAGCTTTTGTTTCCTTGTTTTGCTTTTTAGGTAGATTTTTAATAGTATGATTCCTTATGATTGCTTTATAGGTAGATCATTGTAGTAGGATTCCTTTTGATTTCTTTTGAAGCACCCTTATTGTTATTTTACCCTCCTGCCCTTCCTCTGTATTTATCTCCCTCTCAACTTCTCCATTAGAGCCCTGTTCTGTTCTCCTCCCGCCCCCATCAAATCACTTATACCCTGCCATATCCTTCTCTGTTGCTTCCCAGCAATGGTCCCTTTTCACTTTCTGATTCGCAGTCACTCGAGGCTATGTACTCATCGGAAGATTTGGAGCACTGAGCCTTAGATGTGAGAGAACATGTGATTTGAGACCGAGTCTTAACTAAACCTAAAGCCCGCTCTTTTGTCTAGCTGGTTGGCCAGTGAGCCTCCTGAATCTACCTCTCAGTGCTAGGGTACGTGCATGCACATCTTCACAGTGGATGCTGGGAATTCAAACTCAGATCCTCATGCTTGCACAGCAAATGTTCTTAGGACTTGATCTATTTTCCCAGGCACTTCAATTAGTCTTTAAAATTGTGTTTTTAGGGCAGACATGGATTTATTAAGAAAAAGAGGAAAACTTCCGAAGAGGGAAAGGGTTGCAAGGAAGGAAT